AATATTGAAGGAGACAATTCTTTGTAAAGAATCAGGCATACTTAGAACTGTTGTCAATAGTCTCAAGCAAGAAAAGAGATGAGGTCGAAGAGCAGCATCAGTTCTTCCCATCTGACATTGCTACCCCACTCCTGGCCAAGTTTTGGTGACATTCTTAATTGTCATAATGGGAGGGGGATGGTACTACTGGCATCTAGTAGTAAGAGACTAAAGATACTTCCAAATATCTTACAACATGCAAAAGACCCCCCCACAACAAAGAATGATCCAGTTCATAATGTTCAAGGGGCCAAGACTAAAAAATCCTGGACTCCCGGGAAGGCAGTAAGAGGACTGGATGGATGTCAAATAAATTTGGCAGAGAGAATGGGAAGTACTCAGAATGGACTGCATTTATTATGAGTCCAAATTTCCTGAGGTCAACTGTGTTGGTGGAAATGTTTCTCATTAAAATGAGAAAAAAAATGTTTTTTTTTTCCTTCTTAAAGGAGAAAAAAAGTTCAATTCCATACACATGAAAGTTTGACACTATGAAATTTCCAAATGGAAATGGTAAGAAGTAGTTGGATCTCTAGGCCTCAACTTTTTAAAAAAGGTGTGGACTGGAAATATGATTTTTGGATTATTTGATGTAATAAAATATAGAAGGTATTTTAAGCCATAGAGAAAAGGCATTTCCTCTGTAGATAGACTATGTCCAGAGTTGAGCACCAGGTCTCAAGGAATACTATGGGAAGAACCCACCCAGGGCAACAAAAAATTAGGTGCAAATTAAAGAGAAAACAAGGCTTGTGATGGCAAGAAAACACTTGGACAAAACCTGTTTCAAGATTAAGGCCATGTCACCTGTGCTGATGTGGCTCAATGTGAACATAGAGTTACCCTGAAATGTCCATTGCATTTGTTTACAGCATTGAGGCCACGGCTGACCATGCAGAATCACTTCAGAAGAGTGCTAAAGAGGGGCAAGGTGGTTACTGAAGAGAATAAGAAGTGAGAATAGTTGACAAATTGTTGCACAACTCTTTAGAGAATTCTGGATTTAAAAAGAAAAGTTATATAATCATGGACTTAAAATTTTTGGACTGAAAAGGATTGATAGTATTTATAATGCTGGGAATTATAAATTGGAATGAATGAGAACAAAGCATTTTGAAAGGGGAGAAAATGAGGGTTCCAGGAAAGATATTTTGCTTAGGGGCAGGGGTCGGGGACAGAAAAGGAAGATTACTACAAGCACTGAAATTTGTGACAGATTGTGATAAACGAAGTGTAGTCTCACTTAGACTACATCAATGAACATATTGATGTAGTCTAAGTGAGAAGAATATAGCTTTTCAGTCAAGACATTCCAAATGGCAAATCAGGCAAATCTACAGATGAGAGCATGTACAAATGGAAGATGGATAACAGAGGGTCCTGTTGATGGAAATGTTATGTGAAGGGAATATAAATTTTTTTAAGCTTCATGTACAAGAAAGAATGCACAGCTACCAAATGCACAGCTTTCTGGCTGCATGACATAGTGTCCTCATGTGAAAAACTGTTATTCTATTATTATAGCTTATTCAGTCACATCATAAACATATAATAAAGCATGAGTTCAGAATCCATGAAAGCACTTTTAGACCAATAGTGCCTCAGAAAAAGGTTGCAGGAAGCAATGCAGAATATTTTGAGAGTTTACTAAATGTACAATCCACCCAATGGATTTGACCTTTCTCAAAGTTTGTGGACACCGTTGTGTACATATTCACATCCATAATAAATATATTATTTAAATGGGTTGTCATTTTCACGGAGCTGTTTTCTAATATACCTATTAAAGAAGTGATTCTCCATATACCTTAAATAACATAGTAAATTTTAATTTTTTAAAAGTATAGCTGTGCCTGTTTTTAGAATAGAATTCCAAATTATGGTAGTAAGATATACAAAGATTTAATGTTTCGAAGTTATAGTAATTTGTACTTTTTATAAAAAGGTATAGCTCTAAAAATTATAAAATAACTGAGAATCACATAGGTGCCGTATACTGATAGCATTTTCCCAAGTAAAACTACCCTGATGTGTGTATAGGAATGCTGGAGCGTGGATTCGAACATTCTCACCCCACAGTGACTTAGAGAAATTGGTCGCCCCCAGGTCATGATGGAGGGCATGTCCAGCTAGTGTGTGTGGTTTTAGTACCTGCAACATGATAGAAAAGAGCCAAAATCAAGATACTACTGCAATGGAGGGTTGTACCCAGACTTCCAGCCAAGCTAACTGACCACCTCTTTCCAATTATGCTTTCTCTGATCCTGTTTCTTTGTGTAATGGAAAAACAACAAGTCCACATTTATACACACTACAAGAATTGTTCATAAATTGCCCACATGAAAAGCCTAATTTCTCTATTTATGTACATGTTATAAGTGGATTGCTAGTTTAAAAACCTGGATTACTAGGTATGGTTAACAAGGGGATTATATTTAATCATGAAAAAGATATTTATATTCATTAAAATTACTTTGAAAGCCAAAAAATAATTATTTCCATATATTTCTTTTGGATGAAAGTAAAAATATAAAGATTTTATATATATGCTTTCATTTCATAAATAATGGTGTACACCCAACATGTGCCAAATGCTGAGTCAAACACGGACTAAGCACTGTTACTAGCCCTACTGAGCTCCTCCTGTGTGTTACTCCCACACATGGGACTGCCCTGCAAGCTAACTCCTCCTCATCCCAGAGGACACATTTCAAAAGACATCCTTTAAAGATGTCTTTTGCAATTCCTCCATCATGCATGTGTGTGTGTGTGTGTGTGTATGTGTGTGTGTGTGTGTGTGCATGTGCGCACACTCACCTATGCATGCACCCACCCAGATAGACCAGCATATAAAATACTGAGGTTCTTCTCCCTGCCAAACAGGAAGAATTGAGTTTGGCTTTGGGGAATGAGAATGATTAAGAGTAATGAAAGAAGAGAAAAAGGGAGCAATACATTCAGTAGAGGTTTGTAAGCGAAACAATAGGCAGAATATTGTATTGGTAGATGAATAAATACTATGAGAGACTAGGAAAAAAGCCATCTATGAGACAGGTTGAGAAGATAAAAATAAATAAATACTTTTTTGATTTTCTTTTCTAAAATTTTTTTTAAAAAGAAGTTGGACATGATAATGGGTGAAAAAAAGAAACTTTTTAAATTCCAAGACTTTTCTTTGTACCATTGATTTTTTTTTTGATAGTGATAAGGATAATTTTAAGTACTTAATATGAAAGTAAATTTTATGGTGCTTTGTCTTTCTGGAAGGATGAGCAAAAGAGAATCTCATCAGGGGGTGAAATGAATCACTCTCTAAGGTGTCAGATTTCTCACTCCCAACTGAGTTAGCAAAGGTTAACATACTATTAAAATTCAAGTTTTTGCTAATGTGTTTCATTGGTAGTCAGCTCACTAGAAGTGTATCAGTTTTTAAGCAATTATTCCCAGAGATAGTCAGAAGTGTTTGCCAAAGAGTTCTCTGCTTCACACATAAAAGAATCCAATAACTTCGTAGTGGGGAAAACATTAAGGGTGATAAGCTAAATGAGAGGACAAGATGGTTTGTTACAAGCATCTGCATAGTAACTTTGAATACCAAATGAATAAATAATTGAAAATTAAGAAGCCAAATAAATAAATAATTGAAAATTAAGAAGCCGTGTCTTCATTGGCTATACTTGGGGACTTCACAAGTGAAACGAATACCCTTTGGATATATCACATAAGACACAAATATCATCTGTTTGAAATGTTACCTTTTTTTTTTTTCTTTTGAATACCTAATTGTTCCTATGTCTCAAGGAAAAGAAAATAAAGATGGAGTATCGTTGGTTCAAGCACTTAAAATGGAACTGGAAGCCACTGTTAATCAGGTCTCAGACAGTCCACAGCTGCACTTTTGAGCCAGGCTACCTGCAGGTATGCATCCAGATTCCTATTGACCTTTGTTTTGAACCAAACCTATGGACCAGGTAGTTTCCCAACATCCTTATTCTCTTTTGTCTTGTACAATGGAGCCCTTCCCCCAAACCACTCAGACTCTGAGATCCCACTCAATCTTTTTCTTACACAACAACTTAATTTTTTCCAGCATCAATCACAATTCCTGACTAAATGATAAAATTTTTCAAACCGCCTTTGGGGTTTGAAGTTATACATACAACACATTTTCAACTGTTTGAACCTGTGTTTTCCTAGATTAAAATTATAATTAGCTCCAAATAAATATAGTTTTCTTTGTTCTCAGCAAGGTTGAGATTCTCTATTGGCATGTGGTTCTGGAAGCTGAAACATAAAGCACCCCAAGTTGCCAATATAGCATTGTGGCTCCTGCTAGCTTTAGAGACAGACATACCTGGATTATGACATGGGATCAATGACTTCTTTGATCATTACTTGGAAGTCATATAATTTTTCTAAGCCTCCATGACCTCATTCCTAAATCTTATCTCATAAGAATTCTTACAATTTTTATCTCATGAGATTGTTGTGAAGAGTAAATCATGCCACAATTAAATATTTTGCAATACTAAATGCTCAATAAATCATATGAAAATAATTAGAGGGATGGGTATTGATGACTGTTAGGAGCATATTACTATTGAAAATTATGTACACTCATGCTCAAAATACCCACAGTTAAACTGAATGAAGGAGCGGGGTACTGGATAATCCATGACCAATGTTTAAAAAAGCAAACCACACAAGAGACAGAGAGAAGCAGAGTGGCTTCTATAAATCAGAATGATCAAACTACAGTTAAGGACACGTGAATGAGTTCAATTACAATTAGAGGATAGGTTAATTAGTCATTTCATGAAAACACATGCACAGGAATGGGCAGGGTCTCTGATATTGCATCACACCCCCAGAGTGAGGGTATATAAACACCACTAGGAGTACTCAGGGGCATTCGAGTATCATTTCTCTGTAACTGAGCTGAGCTCACATCTTCTCTCAGCATGTCCCACAGCTGCTGCTTTGGAGACTTCTCTTCCCACTCCTTCGGCAACCATCTGCCCTATTCACACTCCTTCTGTTCTTCCTCCTACCCCAGCAACCTGGTCTATACCACCAACTTCCACCATCCCAGGACCTGCCACCTGGGCTCCTCTCACTACAGGGGCTGTCAGGAGATCTTCCACAGGCCCTCAGGATGCCAGAATTCCTGTGTGGTGTCCAGGACCTGCTACCACCCAAGGACCTTCACCCACTGCAGTCCCTGCCAGGGGACCTATGCTGGATCTCTGGGCTTTGGGTCCAGCAATTGCCACTCACTGGGCTTCGGATCTAGAAGCTGCCACTCTCTGGGCTATGGATCTAGAAGCTGCCATTCCTTAGGCCATGTTTCTGGATGCTGCCATTCCTTGGGCTATGGATCTAGAAGTTCCTGTTCTCTGGGCTACCAATCAAGGAGCTGCTATCCCTCGGGCTATGGATCCATCCACTTCAAACCTCTGAGTTATAGAATCCATGACTGCCCTTCCCTGGGCTATGGATCTGGATTCCACCACCCAACCTATGTGGATTCTAGGAGCTTCCAGTCTTCTTGTTACAGACCAATCTGTGGGTCAGCCTTCTAGAGATAAATTTGCTGAATTTCCAGACCTTTCAAGCCAAATATCTCAGTATCTACTCAGAGCTGCTGTTCTTAGTTTCTCAGCAATATTCACTAACCTCTCCCTGCACACTTTCTCTGGCATCAAGCACAAGCTAACAAACTAGCACTTTCAGGCTGTGAAATTAATGAATGACCAAAGTGTAGAGTCCAATGTCTATAATTTAGAAACAAGTAATTCATTAATACATAAATTCATCCTATAACATTTATGAAACTTCAGTTATATTTGACCTAATAAACTCATTGACTCTCGCATAACATATATGACTGTGCTTTTTTATTTTTATTTTCAAAGTTTGACTTAGCATTTGCCTTTGAGTCTCCAGTTTCTTAGATTACCTTCTATAGGAAACCTATTCCACCATAAGTCCCCTGGCAGCGATGGCAGTGGTTCTCTGACTTTTGGGATAAGCAGCTGTCGCCACTCCCTGGGCTGTGGATCTAGAAAATACTACTAATCAGGATGTGGATCTAATGGGTTTAGACACCTGGATTACAGAGTCAGTGGCTTCCCTTTCCCTGGGCTATGAATCTGGGCTCTGCCACTCACCCTATGGGCTTCCAGACCTTGCCAGGTGTCTTGCCACAGACCAACCTGTGCATCTGAATCTGGGTTCTATCAATCATCTTACTAAGTTCTAATCTTGTTGACCAATGTCATCAGTAACTCCTCTCCCAATCCTTACCCTCTTCCTTATACACAAAAATGGCCCTCTGTTCCCTGGTTGTCAATTTCTGACCCTAACATTGACCACAAACACTTGCTCACATACATCATTTGAGAAACCCTGTAATGAATGTACTCACTCAAAATAAAATATTCATTTAAGATGCAATTTATATTGTTGGATTTTCTTCCCAAATTCTAGGAAAACTGAAAATTCAACCTGATCAATTTATTGCTTTGGTATCCAGGTTGGTTTGTTTTGTTAGGGTATTGGTGGTGAAATAGTAAAGGGATTATTATTAAATTATCCACATGCATAGTAAAATAGGCTTTGAAACTCTATGAAGTTAGGGATTTGAACAAAACTTTCAAAAGCCTTAGATATTTTTCTTTCTCAAAATGTGGAAGTAAAAAGATATTGTTTGAATATATATACTTTTGTTAGTTAAAACTAGATGTAGAAATTAAACTGATTCCTCAAAAATGCAGATCCTTAAGTCTAAGCCACAAGGTCTAATGTAATAGACTGTTTGAGAGTTTTGAGAGTTCTATTAGAAATGCAGAGAAAAATAGATTTATATGTTATGGTTATAGATGAAGCAAAATCGAACTGAAAAAAATTAAAATGATAATGTATGATTTTTTTAGTATATTTTCTTGAAGTCACCCAATATTTCCTGGTAAAGTAATCAAATGCCTGAATCTTACTGATAATTATTCAATATGTTCTACTTATTGAAGTATAGCAAATAAAGAATACCATAAAACTGGACTCAAGGATGAAAATTATAAAGTTGATATTCTATTATTTCTATTAGCTTTAATTGAACAAAAATCATTACCTTAATTTCTGGGGTACCCTATGCCAGCCACCCTATGGATATCCAACCGGTGCCAGGTGTCCTACTATTGCCCAAAGACCTCCACACTCTACAGTTAGTCCCAGTTGACTTAACATTGCATCTCTGGGCTTTGGGTCCAGCAGTAGTTGCTGCCTGGTCAATGATTGTAGAAGGTGCTACTTACTAGATTGTGAATCCAGTGACTTCCTTTCTCTGGGCTATGGATCCAGAATCTGTTGACCAACATAGTTTTTTTTTTTTTTTTTTTTTTCTAGGACCTTCTAGTTTTCTTCCTACAGACAAGCTTATGGATCTAACTTCTAACTTTTAATTTAAGGACTTTATAATTACTTTTTCAAAGTCATCTCAGCTGTCCTCTAGCTAGATCCTAAATTTGACCACCTAGAAGAACAATAATCAAAAGAATAATTCTATTAATAGTAAAATAATTTTCATCTCATAGCATATCCATCTCTTTTTCTCTTATTTTATGGAGCCTCCCCTACTTCTCTGGTTAAAAATGGAGCAAGAGCCAGGCATGATGGTGCATGCCTATAATCTCAGCAGCTCAGGAGGCTGAGGAAGGAAGTTCAAACCTAGTGAGAACCTGTTTCAAAATAAAAGAAATTAAAAAATAAAAAGGGCTGAGGATGTGGCTCATGGTTAAGTGCCCCTGAGTTCAATCCTCTGTTTTTTTTTTTTTTTTAAAAAGGAGCAAGAGGTCAAGCTTTTACTTCAAATAAATTCCTTTAATATTAGATCAAGGTAGTTGCTGTTTACTCTTTCTTTTTGAGATGTATATTTGGAATTCCAAATCTATTTTCTTTGTCTAAAAATGAAATATTTAATTTGAGGAGCAGGAGTAGACTTCCTGATGAGAAGACTTTTCTAACAACACAGAGATAGTTGCTAGGAATTTCTGCCATGTAGAATCAGAACTTGGACAGGTTACCCTCTAATTTTTTATGATCATTTCAGCCTAATTAGGATACTTCACTCTGGTTAAACTACTATTGGACAAGATCCAAAAAAGAGAAGTTTCAGTGATGCTTCAGGAAGTGTTATCTGGCAAGTTTTGATGAGATATATGTCAAAATAGATTTCCTGAACCTCCTTCCCAGACTTGTATAAGCCACAAGAGAATGCTGAGGTTTTGACTTTACGTGACTGCAGTGGCTCATTAATGAAACGAATATTTTAGGTATGAACAAAATTAAATGGGTATGCATTCTATTACAAGAAAATGAATGAAGTTCTAAGATTTCTTATGTTGATAATTAACTCTGTTTCTTCTATTTGGTCACTATAAGACCATCTGTCTACAAGTTGAAGTCATCTGACAACAGTGTAAAAGATGGCAGTGTCATGGGTAGATAATCCAGATTGAGGAAAGTCTTTACCTCTTGAGATTCTGGATTTGGCTTTGCATGTAATAACTAGATAGTCTATTAGAGTCTCTCGATAAGGAAAACACAGGCATCTCCATATTCAAATATATAAGCAGAAATACAGAAATAAAAATATATAAAGGGATGTGGGTAGTCCATGTCCATTTCCCCTCGGTTGTTTTCCTCCCCTCTCCTCCTGCTATGACACTTAGATTTTTGCTTGTGTGTCTCTCCTCATCTTACCAGGCTGCCCTTTAAATGAACACAGCATTCTCCACTTCTCAGCACTGGATCCAGCAAATCCGTGGCAGGTGCCTCCCCACTGAAAGAGCTTGCTCCAGGAAAGTATGAGCATGGGATCTGACATAACCCACGAGAAACAAGGAGTGGTGGAGGAGCTGTTTCTGCAAGAGTTTTTCTCATGGGGTTTCTTGAAGCAGCTCTCTCTGCCTCTGCATTTGCCATGTGAAATGCTGGGTCATTATTTTATATGACCTTAATATAAAATTAAATTAAACCCCTACATGGAAAAATCCAAAACCAAGAGGAACAAAGTTTGAACCATGTAACTTCTGGCCTTGGATTTATGCAAGCCATTACATCATGTAATTGATCAAGCCTTTTTGAATTACAATTTCTGTTACTGGAAAACTAAGGTGTTTGTAAATTAAACACTCATTTAAAAACCTTAAACGGTAACGGTAACCCTTCTCAATGAGGTCCCCTTAATATAATCTCAGTTTGAAGCCTATTTCTGCCCTCTGTCCATCCAGTTGTCTTCCCTCCTCATCTACATACAGTTTACCAACCTTCACCCCATCAAAGCTTCCTTCTTCCAATTCTTTCAACACATTGGGCAGAGCTGACCTCATATAGTCTAGAACATCTACAAGGAAAGCCACCTTTATTTTCTCCTTCAGAGCCCATGGAAATATTATCTTTCCTCAACCCTTCCAGATAGACCCCACAATCAGGAGAGTTGATTATTCCCTTCACAATGATAGCATATATGCACTTATATTTCTTTAATGACAAAGCCACTATTTTTAATATTCCCATTGCTAATATTACTGCATTTAATCAGTATGCTGTTTAATCTTATTGTAACTTCAATGCACAAAACATAATTTAGTCTAGCAGAATCTTACGAGTAGTAAATACTCAGTAGGAATGATTGCATAAATAAATGAAAGAAATAGAAGTAGTGTGACAATCCTGGAGATATATTATGTCACTGCGTTCAACATGCATTCATTTTTTGCCTTGAGCTCCTGTTAGATGAGCTAGTTGTCATCAATCCTCTGATTATCATTATCATCAAAATTGATTTAATGCAATCTCAATGATACATTATTACAAATGCATCACCCACACATGTGAGAGAACTCAAAAACAAATTCACATTTCTGGTTCTCAGGATAGCAGAAAAATAACATCACTCAACAAATCTCTGAGGCAGGTAGGCATGTGCATCCAGGGAATGGAACCAAAATAAGTATATAATTGTTATAAGCCATGATACTTTCACTTCCAAGACATAATGGTACAGGGATCAGAGAATATGAACTGTGAACTCAGAAGGTAAAGGTGCCATGGCTCATTTTTCCCCCCTTACCATTTATCATTATGACATGCACCGACACTGTTGTCCTCTAACGTTTTTCTTCTTCTTTTCCTTTTTTTTCCTTTCTCTTTTGGGTTGCTTGAATCAAAGTCTGATACAACTGAATTGAAAATGACCAAGAATTACCCCCTACACACACACACACACACACACACACACACACACACACACACATACACGGAATTCAAAATTACTTAAGAGAGGAAATGCTGTTACTTGTGGTTCCTTTTATTCTTACATTCAAAAGATCTATTTATTATTAGAAACAGAGAAAGTTGCAAGGGGCTGTTGGCATAAACATCATTATTATTGTCATAGTGACATAGTTTTGAAGTATTCCAGAGCCTAAAATCATTCTCATTCCATATGCATTACAGTGTCTGAGAAGGGGTAGATTCTACATAATTTACTGCATAGAATGTTACATGTAGCAAAATTTAGTTGTTCCCTTCAACCAAACTCTTTTGGGGAAGAGCAATGTGTGATTGGCCAGAAGAGTTTCCTTTTTGTTCTGTTTCTCTGTTGTTATTCTCAAATACAATTAGATCATTCATTATGAAGTTGTGAATTTCTGCCAGCATGTATGGTGTCTCATAGTCCACTGACTTCCATCTTGTTTTTTGTCCTGTTAAAATTTGGTAAGTAGTCTCAATAAGGGTTAGATGGTCTTAAATGAAAGTGAGGATTTATTCAGTGGGTGGAAGGGACAACACATCATTCAATGTCCCTTTCAACTGTGATATGGAGATTCTGAGAGAAAGGCATAGGTTGTAATAACTGGAAAAGACCACAGAGAGCTTCTTATTTGAATTCTAGGGTATTTGTGGAGGCAGAGTGACAGGCCAAAGCCTGTATGTGAATGAATGGGACCATCAAGGCAAGGAGCCACATCCTGGTGCTCTTCCCTCTTGGCTCAGCATTTTTTCACTGCTGGGCAAGGTCTCTACATGGGTGACTTCTGACATGGATAATGGTGTACATTAATTTAGGCCACTTGGCATACATTTGGTGGATGACAAAAAACTGGAGAAGGATGAAGAAAAAAAATCCTGGGAGTGGGGCATGAAATATATTATCTAAGAAAATTGAACATTTTATTTTATTTTACTTTAATGTGACTGAACAAGTGGTTTGAACTCTGGCATAGCCACATAATCAAATATAAAATTTATAAAAAATGACCTTGCTCAATCAGTAGCACAAACCAAGTGATAAGCTCTTGAGAGATGGATACTAACTAAGTCTCTGTCTCTAATGGGAATGATTCAACCTTTAAAAAAGATTGGAATGTGAAAAACTACAGACAAAAACAACATAACCTTACACTTCTTGTTTTTTCAAGTGCTGGGAATTGAACTTAAAATCTCATACGTGCATGCCAAGCACACTACAGTCCTACAGTGTAATCCTAAACACGAAAAACATACTATGTTTATATGCTCTTATAATTTATCCCAGATTAATAATGCTATGGGAAGTGTCTGCTTGAAGATCCTTACCCTGTTCAGAAATAATAGCTACTTTTATTTATGTGCCACACAGTATATCATGGGCAATCTGGTACCACAAACAAAACTTTATTCAATCAGTTGGTTTGTAGTCTTTGACCTGATGAAGTAATCAGGTCAAAGAAGCTTAAGACAATTATTCAAGGTTGCAGTTTGTGACTATAGGTCTCATTTAGAATGCGGGCATTTTGGCTCTAGATCCTTTTGATTGCTTCCCATACCAAATTGTAATATTCCGCCCTCTGGTGGTTAGGTGGTGTCCCTGCAGCTGTAATCATTTTTATTTCAAGACCAGCAGAAGCCAGCGAGAGAACTGGGCAACCTTTTAGTATCCAGTCACTATATGCAATGAAGAAATTAGTTTTGTCTATTTCTCAAGAATACTAAGAAATAGGCTACATTACCATCATCACCCAAGTGCCTACCAAGCTAATACTTAGTTTTTAGTAGGCTGCATGAAACAGATCCAAGGTGACCAATCACTCTAGCCTTCACCATTCCATAGTAACAGCCAGGGAACTCCCTCTATAAATCCAGCGATGACTGAAATCTATATGGACATATACTAATTCAATGAAAATTATATGTTGAAATACCTACTAACTCAGCAATTAAATAGAATGTGCAAGTGAGTGTCATATCCCAAAGAGAAAAGAACTTAGGGAATGCTCTTATTGACATATGACAAACCTAACGTCACCATTTGAACATTTGGACACTCGGAGCTGCGTGGACCTGCGCTAATTTACTACACGTTGTGAGGTTAATAGCAGGGCTGTCAGTTGGACACAACTGTGTGAGAATTCCATCCTGCTTGATTTTCTGCTTTACCCACACAATTTGGCAACAGGACTCTGACTGCAGTGAAAAGTACTGCTCTTTTCATCGTAAAAGCTTTTGAAAACATACCTACATACAGTGAAACATTACTTTAAGGTAATTGATGTCAGCTTGTGTACTACTAATAAGTGGCTTTCTTGGTAATCTTACTCTTTTTTCCCCCACAAAAGGAGAGCTAAAATGTAGGCATAGGTGAGTGTTTGTTGTTGTTATGGTTTTGTTTTGCTTTGTTTTTAAGCTTAGTACCCTTGCTGATTCTTGAACATTTGGAATATATGGTTTATGGTAGGGCTTTCATGGCAGGCATTCAGGGAAAAAAACTGCATGTCTCTATGCATCTAGTTACAGTTTAGCATACATTTGTATTTAGCACCTTCCATTCATTAATCTTTCCAAACACGTTTCTGGAGATTTTAATATGTGGCACCGCATTGAGACTCACTGTCGCAGATAAAATAGTGAAGAAATGGTGAGCAGGCTCTTGCCTTCATGAATGCACAGTGTAGAGGCAGAGACAACAAGGAAACAAAATCATCCTAAATCTTCTGAAGGTAAAAAAAAAAAATTGATCCTGAGAAAGGAATCCTTTCTTTAGATGCAGTGGTGGAGAGGTAATTCTGAAACTGGAATCAAGAAAAGAACTTCAGATAGAGGGGTGAGGGGAGCAGTGAGGAGCCAAACAAACAGCTGACTGTGTGTAGGACACAGAGGCAAAGGACTCAGGGGCTGAGTGAAGGCCTCTGACCAGAACCTTGCTGAGCAAGGGAAAGGACAGAGTGGGAACAGAAGAAGAGGGTGACCAGGTGTTATAAGGTGTTACAGGCCAGGCTGAGGGAAGCAGAACTATTCTAAGGACAATTTAATCCCTGTAGGGACAGTCCCAAGCTACAGTGGAAGCCTCTGTTCAATAGCATATAAAATACAATCTGCCTAAGAATCAAATGGTTTATGGTAGGGCTTTCATGGCAGGTATTCAGGGACCTTCAAACACACACTGATGGTCTTTCAAACTATCCATAATTTGCGTGTGCACAGTCAATCAAGCTGAAAATATTGAGACGATAATACCCCTAATCCTTCAAATATCAAGGATGGTTTTTTTTTGGAGAGTTATTCAAATGGCCTAGATATTCTCCAGTTTCTTCAGATCTGAAAACAAGACTAGGGCCCTGTGCTAAGAATTATTTCTGTTCAGTTTCATTGTCATAAGTTGCGCTTGGTAAATTGTAGAATGTGTTCTAGAAATTATGCTGGCAGATTCTGTGTCGTGGGCATGAAACTGCTAAGTGCTGTCTGCAAATGTAAACCATGTAGGAAGTGAGCATCTGCCTGCAGTCACAGACCAAAACCAAAATAAATACAAACGAAAATCATATCAGAAACACAATTGTTCCAAGGGAAAACTATCAACCTGAGAAGCACAAAAACAAGCACAATGCTTGTGATAAAGCACAGTGATAATAAAAAGAGGCTGAAATTTACTGAAATAGTGGATTTGGAGACTAGGAAGAGTATGGAGGAGGTGGGAGGGAAAGATATTATAAACTAGAAACCAATAAATTTAGGTAGGAGGAACTAATCCTGGTGTTCTGTAGAAGAGTAGGGCAAGTGTAGTTGACACAATCTATGATATATTTCAAAATAACTAGAAGGGTCCAACGTTTTTCAGCACATAGAAAAGACAAATATTTGGTGAGCTACATATGTCCATTACTCTGACTTGATCATCATTCATTGTATACATGTATCAATTTATCCCCTGTACTCCATAGATATATACAAATATTATGTCAATTTAAAAATTATAATGAAATAACTGCTTTGTAACCCCCATTCCCATAGGGCACATTATAAATAATATAATGTACCTTCTTTTACCTAATTTTATGACTTTAATCATTTCCTTTATTTCAACAGTGATATTCCTTCCTCGTTAAATTTTATTCAATGTGTATGAGCATTGAGAAAAGGCGAAAATGACCTATTTTCCTTTTAAAAATTCAATTGGCAATTTGGAGGAAGAACCAGTAGCTTCTAAATGGCAATGGGAATAGGCTCATTAATGGGAGTAGGCTCCTTGTAGGACCTTCAAGGAGATGAGGGGAATAGAGTTTCATCACAGAGGGAGGTTGGCAGGGCAATGACCACATCCAGTACTTTGAGTGAACAGGAGAAAAAAATTGCTTGTGTGGAGTCCCCTCTCATCCCAACCACCTGGAGAGACTAAGTTCTGAATGCAGGCTCCACTGAATCCACCTCTGTCTAAAAATGTCTTTGCATTATCTTACCACATCTGCCCAGTTGGCATTCTCAAAACTCCAGTGCTGAATGTAAATCAGCATTCAATTGGTAGTTTCCACACTCATTATTGCTATTCACCTACTTGTGAACTTGGTGGCTAAGGGAAAAAAACTGTCAGCTTGGATGACACGCAGGGACTCGCATCTGACAAACCCCACCCTAATGAGTCACCTTTGGAGCCAACATGAAAGCCATTTTGAAGATCCAAAATGGACTTGCATCTTTGTTAATAAGACATCATTTCCTATATAACTAAACAGTGTGCTAATGAGATGTTATCCTTCCAATGAGCTTTAGCAATGAAGTGTAAAGAAGTCCTGAAAAAAGCCAACACCCAATTTTCTGAGTAGTATAAAATCTCCCCTGCAACAAATTTGCTCTTCAAACTTGGCATGTTGAGTCCTTTTGACCATCTTCAACTAAGGGTTTTAGCAATATGCCTGAGAGCCACTGCCAGTCACTCAGGAGCTGCTGCAATGCCCCACCACTCTCTGCCATTGTACATGGCTCTAATCTTATAAGCTTTGAAGATGGGTTTTGTTTGCCCAGCAGCTGCCACAACAGAACCTGGCTCTTGGACAGCTCTCAAGAAACCTGCAGTGAAGCCACCAGCTGCCAAGTGACCAATTGTGAACAGGACCAGTTCAGAGAGGATACCTGTGCACAGAGTACCTGCCACTCCTCAGTTGTCCAAACAACGTGTTCCAATTCCAAGCCCTGTGAAAGGACAACATGCCCACCAGGAAGTTGTGCAGCAGTGCTGGAGAGTGCTTCTCAGACTTGCCAGCCAGCAAGCAATCGGCACACAGCTTTTGTAGCCCAGAGATGCCAACCTGCAAGCTACATGTTGCAGTATCGTCCACTAAAGTCTTCCGTGTCTAGGTGTCACCAAACTCTGGAATATGAATCTAGCCAATGCCAATCTCAGACCCTTACATACAATTCCTGTAGCCCTCTGGTCGATGCTGCACCTGGGCCACAACTTCTGGAATCTTCTAGCACTTATGAGCCAACTTGCTGTGTTACTGGTGGTTTGCAATTGCCTAGTAAGTGAAAAAAAATTGTAGAAGATATTATATATATATATATATATATATATATTGATTTCTGTGATATTTAGGATATTTAGGATATTCATTTCTCTAAATGTAAAATATTGTGTGTTTATTAGTAAATGAGCTTGTCTTTTTCTTCTGCGCTCTCCAAAGTAAGACTTTTTTTCTCTTTGGGGGATTTCTGGTGGTATGTTGGGATTGGAAAGCATGTTATATATTTTAGATCAATAGACATTATTTATTATAGAGCAATAAATTTTATCAGGGAATAAAATGAATCCTTCAAAAGTTAACCTTACACTTTGTTCTAATAGTTACCATCTCTAGAAATGATTGACATTGGATCTGCTTATTTACCAATGTGCTAATAAATCAGAAATCCATAAATGGTAGAATTAAGAGAGACCTAAGCCCATGTAGTCTTATGAATTCAAATAGGCTCAACTCTGCCAGAGACTGACTGTAGTTATTAACATTAGAAACAACTAAAATCTGGGCCTGTTCATTATCCATTCACCATTTTACCCACTGCATCAAAACACAACTAAGTGAGCAAAGAGATGGAATCTACTGCTTAAAAAGTATATTTGAATTCCATTTCTATGGACTCTAGGACCACAAAATCCCCAAAGATCTTTGAAAAATGTTGATTTCAAATTTAGTATCATCACTATTCTGCTATTCCTTTTACTTTTTCACTATTTCTTAAGTGATTTATAAGTTGGGGAAATGTTCATACTGTTAAATAAATTTATTTGGAATTATAGACTTGTTGTCAAAATATTATTTTATATGACTCTTGTGAGTTTTACATTAAAAAGTTTTAAATGATTTCTGCCTGATGAAAATATGATAAATATTTGAATAATAAAAGAATATGTTTCTTAAGTATATTTTTTTCTACTATGAACCAGAATAAGAGAACACATTAGTGGCAGTCACTAAAAGATGGGAAACATACTTAATGTGAAAATCGTAAAACCATGGAATCAGAATGTGTGGAATTCATTATTTTGATTAGATAGCATGGGTATGAAGGTTTGATTTTGTTCTTCTTTAGGGGAGCAACAGACAGAGTGACTAAGAGCATGGGTTTTGAAGACATACTTTCTGGGGTTGAAGTCTGAGCTGTGCTGAGTGAATGCTGTTTGAATTCCAGTTGTAACTTTGCAAGTTATTTAACCACTCTACAACTCAGTGTCCTCAACCTCAAACTTGAGAGGATTCAGCCTTTGGGAGCTTATGGTAATAAACTAAAAGTTATCAGCATATGGAGATGTCAGGTCATAAACTCAGCACAGAAGAAAGAATGGAAATTTATAAATAAATAAAACCAGATAACTTGATATAAAGGAAATTTAGTCATCCCACAAAACAGAGATGAGTTGTTTTATAATTTTGGAAGATGCAAGGGAAAGGATTAATAAACAATTAGAGGAGACTGGCAAGTAACTCTGAATCTATGGCAAAGCTAATGCTCTTGACAATTTACCAGTCAGTTTTGCAGGTGCTTGCAGTGATGATTCCATGTGTCAAATTGATTAGGTCAAGAGGCAGCAGATGAAATATCATTTCTGGATGTGTCTGACTGGACGATATTATGAACCAGAATAAGAGAACATGTTAGTGGCAGTCACCAAAAGATGGGAAACGTATTTAATGTGAAAATGTTTCTGTCTGGATGATATAAGCATTTGAATCAAAGAACTCAGTAGATTGACCTCCCTAATATGAGTATCATTCAGTCCACCAAGGGCCTGAAAAAAGCAAAAGCAGAGGAAGGAGGGATTTATTCTGTTTTGTTTCCTGCCTTCCAGCTTGAGATGGAACCTGGATCTTCCCTGCCCTTGAAGTGGTATTTGCATTATCAGCTCCAAGGTTGTCAGTATTCATACTCAGATTGGAGTCCTACCACTAGCTTCCCTGGGTTTCAAATCTACAGATGGCCGAGTTTAGTCCATCTTAATCATTATTCACAGTCATGTGAACATTCTTCATAATTAATCTCTTCATATATATTTGTGAAATTTATACACACATGTGCACTATATGGTTGGGTCTGTTTCTCTGGATAACCCTGATTAATGGAACACTATAGACTAAAAAGGAAGATTTAAACCTAAATTCTATAAACCAATGCTTACACAGGTGGTTTGGAGAGGGTGGAAGGGAAGGAGAACTGAGGGCTGTCTAAGAGAGGCCCCAAACTGTTCGATCTCATCCATAGTAACAGAGAGTGTCAACAGAAGAGCATCCCTGCAGCCAGAGACATTGATGTAAAGCTTTTGGCCACAGCAGTGGTGGCTGTAACACAGCAATGCAATAACAAAGGGAGCCTTTGTCTCATGGCAGCCTCTCAGGATTCCAATCACAGCCAATCATGTGTACACAGATCAAATTTCTTCACAATGAAGACTGTTGCTAATGAATCTCAAATTGGATTGTTGGGAAGGAGTTCAATTCATTTGAGCCACTGTTTCTGAAGACAAGAGGAAAAACACAGCCAGTGTGGGTGCCTTCCAAGTACATGTTTCTTTATGGACATAGCTTATCGAGAAGCCAGGACTTTGTTGAAAATTGTCTGGGGGCAGTGGATGTGTTGGTGGATAGGAAATTGCTAGGAAAGAGAGGCAACAGTGTTGAATGAGTTTCATTTTCTAGTCTATCCTGTTCATCATTTTAGACCTTGACTCATCCTTCCCAAGCGGAGCTTGGCTTCTTCCCCAAAGAGAAGTCAGCTGAAGAAGTGGCCAATATTGAACCTAACCCAACATAAAGCAAATTTGAGCTCATCATAGAGACAAATTGTGTGGATTCAAGTACAAAAGACTATTGATATTTGAATAAATAGTAGTATGATTGCATGAAAAGATCTTGCTAGAAAATTTAGTGTAAGGGGAAGATCATTACAAGGCCTTGCTCAATTCCAAAATTTTTCAATTATTAGCTGTGTGCCCTGACATTTCAGACTAAATTTTTCACTATAAAATGGAGAAAATAATGCCTGATTCAATAGGTGATTATGGCAGCTAAGTGATATAATGCCAATTAAATACTTGTGGAATGTTTATTACGTGATATGTTTACAGTATGTTGTAGATACGCTTTGATACTTTATTTGATATTTGACTCTTGGATCCAACCTTGGTTTACTTTATAATTGCGTGCACTGCATTTATACCCCAGGTCAGAAACTAAGAAACCCTTCCATTGCATTTTCACAAAGGGCATAAGCATTATGGAACATAACCTGTATATTCTATGCAGAACTCGCTTTCAATAAATATGAAAACAACATGGTGAATGCTACAGAATATTCATCATAAAATAAGAGACTTAAGAACTTCAACCTATTAGAGAAAACATTCAACCTTTGGTTTTAGGGGAATGGGGCTTACTTCAGTCATATAAACTAAAAAGAACCAATAAATTAAGGAAAGAGAGAGAGAGAGTGTCTTCACAGAAAGATTCCAACAGGACTTGATTTTTGGTACTGGGGACATAAGTGACATAACTATGTACTCCTCTCCTAGAAGTTAAGAATCATGACCATCAAGAACAATCACTTTCTTCTACAATGCTGTTCCAAGAGCCATAGCAAAGCTCTTAGTGATCAAGCACTTATTTACCAAGCATTTTATATGTGTCTTGTCATTTTAAATGTAATTTTGTAGAATGAGTGCTATTTTTTAATGCAAACTTTTCAAGTGAAGTTGAAGGTTCAGATAAATTGAAAAAGTTTTCCAATTTAGGTTATAAATGCAGAACAAGATTTTTAACACACGATCTAGGCATCAAAGCTCAAGTTAGGTCTCTTAGGGAGATTGAGAGAACTATATATAGCTGACTTGTGGCTTATATATAATTCAGGGATGAATATAATAGTGGAAAGGAACATATATTTAGAAGAGTTTTGTAAAACATGTACTTGAAATATCTCTTAAAGTAATAAATATTATTTTCTTCAGATCACATGAATTTGGCAAAGTTCAGGTGCCAGGGAAGGTGTTGAGTTGGCATGGAGTCAGACTCTCCTACAATATAGGCTTTGTTATCTTAATTTTGTCATGTCACACATCTTTCAGGGATTGCTGTGAGTTCTTTTCGTAAGCTTGATGTAGACACTAATAGAGATGGGAGAAGGACTTCGTTCCAAGTTGTATGAGACACACCTTTCTTAGTACAGAATCTCCTTCCTAGCTCTACTTCCTGTTTCTACCTTCAAGACTGACTGACTCAGCTTGAAATCATTTCATTTGTTCCAGGTCCTTCCACTTGTACTCAAAATGATACTTGATTGAAAAAAAAAATGTAATTAAGATAGAATCACTCAACACAAAGTGAGGGCATTATACTTCTTTGAAAAATTAATAATTCATCATTCCAAGTTACACAGATCTTTGGCATTGATAAGAGATAAAATCCACTCCCGATAGCACAATAAGTACCTAAAATTCAAATTAAAAGAAAAGTTTTGTGGTTGCAGAGTAGAAAGTACTTTGCCTGGCTTTTTGTGTAACTTTCACTAACTTTATGGAAACAAATGTACTAATGAGATTCAAAAAGAAAGGTGTTCCTTGGAGCCCAAAGGCAAAACCAATGCTATTACCTTCACACACGAGAACTAAGAAATCTCAAGGGTAAATATCTGAAAATGGTTAAGCCAGTTTCTATTTTGCTATTACTCAATATGCAATCACTTCAAACACTGGGCCAATGCCCCTGCAGGAGGTCAGTAAATAGTAATCGGCAAAGATAATGAGAAAAAGAGACTGAAAATCAAAGAGAAGGCTAAGAATAGCCCCTACTTAGCAGTTCACTGTCTTCTCATTGTACTTCATGGGCAGGGGCATGCTCCCAACTTAAATTGACTATGTACAGTGATAAACCAGGATTAAAAATCCCTCTTCTGGTATAAACAATTCAAAATTTATACAAGGGTTATTAACTATTGTTTTTCTTTTCCCCTTAGCATTCACATTGGCACTTTCTATGTCAG